GGATGGTTGCCATATTCAGATTTTGTAGGATACCATGGTATAGGTGTTATTTTGCAGGATGTATCAACAGTAATGAATCTCCATTTCCCAGAAGCAACACATGGGTTAAATTCATAATGCCGGACCACATCAACTCGCCCCAGTTTCCTTAAGCCACTCTTCACATCTTTGCCATTGCCTAATATGATAACAGTGTCAGTGAGCTGCCTGAGATGTTGCTACATGCCCTGTAATTCTGGGCACAGCTTATTTTCATAGTATTTCTGTCGAAGTGCCTCCTGATGTGGCCAGGTTTGATTCTCATCTGACACCAGTTTTATGCAGTGACTCATCTGCGCCTGTATTTGCTCTCTGTAGAGCCATACGATCCCCCCCCGGCTGTACACAAGAGCTGAACTCAGCCTCTTCTGACTTCAGCAGCTACCACCATGGGTTGAAACTGGCACGAGATGATCAGAATCAGTGATCTTGGAAGACAAAAGAAACAGGCAAAAATATTTTTGAAACAGAACGGCTAAAGTAAAGCTACCGTGTCCATCAGAAAGGCCGGTCTGACAAAAATACTGCAGAGGAGATGGCTAATCTGTAAGTCAGGCAGGAACATTTTGCATTCAGTAGCAGGGAGGTTTCAATAATGAAGGAGAGCCTAACTGAGCCTTTACCCTATACATACAGGCTACCAAATATCAAGTGACATGGCCAAAATATGTCACTATATCTAGTGAGATATACGTATCTCATTAGACAATAGAGAATGCCTATGTGCATTGCTGTGTATAGTGGTCTGGTTATACCACGGAAGTCCAGGAGGACTTATAGTATAAGAAACAGAGGAGTTGAGCCTTCCCAGCATTAACAAGACTTGTTTTATTTGTATTTATAAAATCATACGTAAAGGAAAGCTGGAAGATGTTATAAGGACAGTGGTTTCTCATCTTCACCCCCTTTGCCTCACTCCTGGTGCACCCCAATGAGGTCGGGGAGATGCGGCGAGAGGGAAAGGCCCTTTGCAGTGACACCTTGGTCTGTGGGCCTGCCCACACGTAGGACATTTTACACTTGGCTCAAAATGACAAATTCATTTTCTTTGGTGACTTGTGAATAACTTTGCCTTTCTTAAAATTTCAAGACATACGTCTATTGCAAATGAGTGAACCTTCTGAAAAAACATGCTGACAGCACATCCAGGTTTGACAATGACTTCAGGGACCGCAGGACCAAGGTGACAGGAGCTGCTACTTTCTGTCACACCTTCATTGCCTGCAAGGAGACAAGAGATGCAAACAGGACCATACACAAACTACAGAGATACACTTGCATAACTCTGCCACCACTCAGCAGTGGTGAGCCTGTTTTCTCCTTACGGTTATCGCATCTATTTTCTGTGCTATGAAGGCATGAGTAAGGACTTTGTGTTGCAAATCCACATCCAAATCCATACATAAGTGCACACACACACACGTGTGTGCGCGTAGTGGAGTCTCTCCTGAACTCAAAGCCAAGTGGCATAATAATACACTCACAAAACGGATCATTTGCTTTAGATAGCATTAAATACTGATAAAAATACAATGAAAACATTTCTTCCAAAGTACCTAAAAACTTGTCAGTGAATCGAAACTGTTGGTTATAATGGAAGACCATTGTAAAATCTGTGAAATTAAAAAAGCATAGAAATCAAGGCCCAGATTCAATTTCTTTGATTTTTTTTTCTTTAGGAGAAATGAAGTTCTCAATTTTTACTCTTAACAAAACCCCACACTGCTATCAACAGACCTGTCCCTACCTTTCAAAGGAGGTCATTTGTAAATGAGACAAAATATTCACAGGGAGATTATTTAAATCATTAAAAGTCCAAAGAACATGTAAGAAAAAGTGAAATTAAGCTACAAGAAGCAAGCTGTGAAAGTTGCTACCAACACTATGACCAAAATGGCTGTGAGCTAAACCAGCATGACTGAAAAAATAAAGATAAGAAAAAAATGTAATAAAAGAAAAAAGCACAAATACTGGGCCAAACCTGGCTATCCAGACTCAGCGTGAACCACGCACACTGTTAGTTTGCTAAGTGTGGGAAAGGTGATTTGTCCTTTGAAAGGAGCCAAAGGAGCACAGCTGAGATCAGCGACATGGTCTAGGGGAAGATGTCCCATCTGTATGGGCTTTCCCTTCAGTCCCTGCTCTTGAGGACCCAACACACATCATGCAGCTAGAGATGCTCACTGCGCTCAGAGCAGGATATTCTGCCTGCACATTGTCAAATACTTCACTTTAGACCTGCTGCAGCTCTTGACAGGGAGGTTAAGTGCTATGTAAATGCCGCGCTTGAGCACTTAGAACTCTGCTGCCCTTGGATCTTGTGGCGATGGAGCTCCCAAATGCCTGTGTTTAGCCCGTCACTGGCATGCTCCCTTCCATGCTGAACTACTGATATTGCTCCAAACCTCCTGAAGCAGGGGACACAAATGACAGTCTTGTCAGCTCTGGCAATATTTTACGAAGCTTGGTGCCTTTCTTAAATCCCAGCTGCAGAAATCAAGAGATTACATCACTGTCCCAGTTTATCACTATTAAAAACAAATGTGTCATTTCTGGCCCTCGGCACGCTTGAAAAATGCCTGTAAACATGTCATGAAATCAGGCTCAAACCTCAGTACCCAGAAGGCAATAAAAGAACCAAAAAATTTTATTTAACAAAAAAAAACCCAAACGACCCATGATTTAAAGCCAATCTTGTAATTTTTGGTGCTCGGTTCACAACTTTGAATGCCTGAAGTGGGCAGTGTTAAGAGCAGACATAGAAATGACCAAGCAAACACATGCTGCTTCCCTGTGGACGGAAACAAACAACCAACCTAATTTGATTAACTCTGCTGGAAGTAATATTTGAAGGGGTAAAATGATTCCACAAAGATGACATGTTGGCATTTGAAATGAGATGAATATAGTGCCTGTAAAAGTGCAATAATCCTTAATAACTAACCCAAAAGAAGCATCATCCCCGGGGATAAGACGGTAATTCACTCTCCATATTTAATTTGTTCCTAAGCCGCTTTTGAAACAAGACTGCTAAATACTAAGTTGGCTTGTGATCCTAGACTTGACTGCTGGACTTATTATAATCATGCCATTGATTCAGCAGGCATTTCAAACTAAGACACAGGATACAAAACCAGGTGGGCTAATTCCTTGAGCTGTTAAGCAAAAGATTGTGAACACGGCGTAAATTAAGAGATAGGAGTCTGTTTACTGCAAGCAACAGGGGAAAGATAAGACATTGTCTTCAGCGAGTGACTGCAGCGAATTCTTTGAACAGTCCTGCGCCTGAAGATTGCATTTCAAGACGTATCTATCCTCTGTAAATGCACGGAAGTCTAGGATTTCAGTCTACATTAAAGGAGCAAGTGATGGCAGTGCAGTTAATTAGACTAAATAGTTACTGCATCTCATTAGCAAGATCTTGCAAAAAGAATGGAAAACTGGCTCGTGACAAAACCACCCCAACTTCGTCCCAAGTACTCACCCTGCTAGAAAAGAAAATAATTCAAGTGTTTTGTTTTCTTTTTCTTAAAAAAAACCCAAAACAAACACCACCTTTCATCTACATTTCTGAACAGTTCTCACTGTTGTGGTTTTTATTCATTAGCTACTGGGGCCAGAATCAGCGTGACAAATGCTGTCAGATTCATGTTTCAGCCGTGTTACCGAAACCCTCTGAGAGCAGATAAGGGCATATCGACCCCTGGAGGATCAGGAATGTGCAGATAATACAGGACGGGCATGTTCTGCAAATGTCCTTTGCAGACACCCCTAAACCGGATGATTTCTCTAATGATGCACCTTGGCCACATTTACAATACAGTCTTGTGGAACAAAATATTAGGTATTATTGATTTTTAAGAAAAGTTAGTACTACAGGGAGCTAATATACAACAGCTATAGGAATGTTTGTCTTAAATGTGCATTGGGCAGAGTCCTTAAACTGCTCTTATTGCAAATATCCGAGGCCTGCTCTAAAAATCCTAACAGTCTGAACCTTTTAAATGCAAATTTGTCCTATTTGTCTGGTCACAACCCAGTGAGTAGAATCCAATAACTCACCAGATTAAAGGATATACAGGGTTATCTAGCAGAAGGTAATTGCAATTAACTAATATCTGGATGGCATTTAATACACACATTGTATTATTTCAATGAGATGAGACAGAATAATATTTACATTGCTATGGGCATTTTCTGTTTCTAGAAATGGAATTTACAGATCAGTAAGGTATGCAGGCGTTATATCAAGAATGAGATGAGAGCGTTTAAAGTCTTGTGAATTATTGATATAAATGGATTTTGTTTTGTTTCATGCACCAGCGCTTCTTGCAGTGGTACCAGAAGAGCAGTGCAGTTTATAACGGGGGGAAAAAAAAAAAGAAGAGGAAGGAGCAAATGTGAAATGGTGTAATTTATTCACGATTGCTTTGAAATTCTATCTGAATTGTCTCGTTATGATTCACGCGTTGGAGGAATGGTGCAAAACATGACAGCATGGGTAAACAGAGGCAGAGCTTGAAGAACAGGGAGTCTGACTGAAGTATCTGTGGCCATTATTAAACAAGTGTTATATTGCTTTTGGGTAAATCTGGTGATTTTATTTAATTTGACACCGTTTTCCAGATAGCAAGATAATACTGTTTGCTTTTAACGCTCTGAAATGAACAAAACAGGTCAAAACTGATGCCACATGTAATTATAATGTTTCAACAGTAGCTGGTTAGTTAAACTTCTAGAGAGTTTCATGAAGAATCTGCATACACTTATTAATGGACTTTTACATACAATATCAATGCTTAGAGTGTAGCGGTCCTGGTAAAATCTGCTTTCACTGAGTCACTATGCAAGGAGAGATTGTTCTATGAAGAAAGACCTTGTATTTGTTTGAGACTAAACAGTAAAACTGAAAGAAAATTCGCAGATTCAGTATAGGAATGGTAGATAAGACTATGAAAGCTAATATTTTGAAATTGCCTAAAAATTGCAATAAATTCTGCTGCCTAATGAAATTATTAAGCCAACAATAAACAGGAAGAATGGAATATCAAAACCTCATTGCATAGTGTGTCATCATTCTTTAATGAGGCATTCCTTCAACCTTTTCACCTCTTAACACCTTTGGTGATCTTACACTATGTACCTGTAAGATACTCGATGTTCTCTTTTAGAGATTAAGCCTATAGGAAGCATGAGATCTTAGGAAGGTACTGTGTCAGGTAACGATGCCAGAATTAAGCGTCAAAAAACTTGGTTCAGGTTCAGAAGATGATTTTGAATGAATAGCTATAACTTCTACTAATTTATTTCAGAAGGGACTTCTCATATAGACCCTCAAATACTTAAGACCCTTTGTACTATTTCTCAGGAATCCGTATCTTCTCAAAGTGCTTTTTTGTTTTCACTTGAAGGCAGCATGGACTAAAAACAATACTGCAGGGAATGTACCGTTCCATAAAGCACATAAGGATGGCAGGATCCAGGAGACACAAGGCATAGAAAATTGTCGAAAATGATTAGGTGGTACAACACATACTGCTCTCGAGTCATAAGTTCCATTTATGGTGACTTCTACTTCCAATAGATAGGATATTTTAAAAAGGCAATAAAAATGAAGTTACATGAATAAACTTCCAGAAATGAGTGGAGTTCCACCAGTGATCGTCTCTGCGCTGGTAGAGGTAGAAGAATGGGGATGTTATGAAGAGGGCAGCAGTCACTACAACAAACGAGCCTCAATGCGGAGCCAGTGGAGTCCTTGGCGAACGTAACGAACCAGATTGGTCATACTGCTGTGTTGTGTTAAGGGTCCCATCACTGAGTCCAGGTCTACAAAGAATTCTGCAATACACAAGAAGCAGAAGTCACTGTTTCAGGCAATGGTACAGAAACACATCTATTACCATGGCTTCCCACTCAGTAGCAGCGGTGCAATTAGTGAATTCTCAAGACGTTGTGCACGTGAGCACACAGTCAGGAGCAAAGAATTTTAAAGAGGCAACAATACATTTAAACAGACTAAATCAGATTATCCATGCTGGAAGTCAACCACAACATGGTACAAGTGGCTGCCAGTAGTCTTCCTTTAGCTCTGAGGATCTGCACGTCCAGTTTTTTGAGTGTAGGTTTGCTGATCGTTTGATTTAAACAGCTGCAATTAACTGTGGCATTTGCCTTTCCATGCTGTACCCTCTCCTGGGCATCAAGAGCTAGTCTGGATCTTGCAGAAGATCTTGCTTGCTCTTGTCCCCACCCTCCCTCTTCTGTTACTGCAGGTTTGGCCCTCTGCTCATCCTGCTGCAGCTGCAGGCCCCAGAGGATGCGTGTGGGATGGGAAGGGAGAAGGAAGAGGAGAGAGGGTGCACACTGTGAAAACAGCATCTAGGAGACGGGAACCTACAAGGGGAAAGAAGAGATGGGTAAGGCCACTGGGACCTGGTGTTGGGAAGGGATGATAAGAGGTCACTAAACAGAGGGCCACAGTTAGGAAGCAACACACCAGTTTACTTTATGCCATGTGTTAGATGGTCTCTGTGTGAACGACTAATCCTGTTTGGGCAAGCAGACCTTTCCTGATTGCTTTTAACGGGGAACTGGATAGTGTCCCACAGCTTGTCTTTTTGTTCACTGGGACACAGGCATTCCCACATAATACAACACTTACACTATATTTAGGTGAGTGGGAACCCGTTCTCAGTGAAAAGCCCCTCAGAGCTCAGATAACAACCAACAATCACAATAACTGGTGGCTGAGCCCTTAAATTCTCACCCTGTCTAAAATCTAGTGCATGGCACTCAGCCAGCCAACACTGTGTTGGCTGCAGTTTGGGAGAGCAGGCACCAGGTACAAAATCATTATCAGGACTCTCTTCAGCAAGTAAGTGCTGCTTTGAGGTCTTCTATCCAAGTATTGACAGCCTGACCCTGGTCAGCTTGGGAGCTACAGCAGTATCACAGCACAAAGTGATTTGGCTGGAGGCAAGCATAATGAAAGCTTAGGGCTATCACCAGTTGTGTTAAGATGCTGCAGCCAGCAGCTACTTTTAATCTTCCTTCCTCTGTCTTTTACTCTCCTCCTCCAGTGCAAAATCAATACATTTAGAAGTGAAATAACGCACTGCCTCGCTCGTATTCTAGAGATCTCATTCTGGGCTCCAATAAACAATAATTGCTTTAAACACTGAGAATTCACCTCAAAGCCTAATTTCAGTTTAACACTTCTTGAAAAAGCCACAAGCACTGAAGACACTTATTAAATTTATATGTGAAAGAACAGGCCTTCGTCACTACAGAGTTGATGGTTTTCTACTGCTATCTTTGGAAGCTTAAAAAAAATTATCTGGTTTTGTGAAGTCAGCTGAGAGTTTGATGTTATAAATGGTGAACAGCTCTCTGGGTGATCCGACACAAACCAGCCCATGGGTTGGCTCTGGGCAGTCTGCAGTTCAGCCTGGCCTGCTCCAGATGCAGACTTTATGACAAACTCCATCTCTTCTCCCACACACTCATCTCTACCGACCAGAGGTACATGGCAGTGAGTTCCCACTTTCCTTTTCAAACCAGATCATCTTGGTGGGTCCCAGTTCTGCTGTTCTCCCTCTTGCTACGCCTTTTTATTTTAATGGCACATCTTTTGTCAGGCTGACGAGAAAGGCTTCTGTCTCCTGCTCTGAGCCAGCTGGACATGAGACAAGTCCAAACTGGGAGTGTGCAGGCATTAGAGGAGCACAAAACCTAAGCCGACAGCCGTGGACAAGAGGAGGCTGCACAGCTCCTACAACATGGAAGAAATCTCTTGTGTTTGCATGGGCATGACCTAAGAAACATCTATGACAGCAGCAAGACCCAGATATAAAGGCTATTAGACATTACAATGATGGAGCCACATTTTTATACCCATCTCTATATGCTCATCAGGGACATGCTCTTGGGCAAGACATCCCCTGTGATTCAGAAGACAACAGAAACAATGAGAGCTGACTGCAAAAAAAAAAAAAAGTGACTGGATCTGGGTTTTTTAAAAAATAAAATTAATTTTTATCTTAAAAGTGGGTTTCTTTGTGGGACTATATTTGTTTCCTTGGTTTTTTGAGACCAGTCTTATTTCAAGGGGAGAAAAAATAAATAAATCTATTTTTTTATGGTGAACTAACTGCCCAAACCCCCGAGAGAGAAGCCAGGGATCTGTCCTTTACCTGGGACTCAAGGCAGAGTCTGAGGTTTGCAGCTATCCTCTTTACTGTCATGGGACATTTCTGTACTCACAGCCCACACGCCAGTGTACCTTCAGCACTCCAGCTGCCAAAGGTGGGTTAGAGACTGCTACAGGAAAAAGGATGAGTCCTGTCCCAGCCAGCAGGATACAGGAGTTTTGAATTGTTTGAGGGGTGCAGATGACATCTACCAAAATAATTACAGCGAGGTTTCACGACACACTGCGACATTTCTCATGCCAAAGTATCTTAAATATATCCTTCCGTAAATGGAATCCATCATGTGATACGATGAAGGCCTGCAGAGTGCCACAGCAGTCCTTATATATATAATTTTTGTTACACTATGAATTTTTCAAGTTGCAGTTTAATTGTGTTTAAGCATGCAACTTTAAATAGAGCATTTAATTAGAAATGAGGTATCTTTCCAGACAAAGCATAAAGACAGACATGCTATACCATGTATGAAACTCTGACCTCTCCAATGGTTTACGATACTTCAATGAAATTTGAAGCAACACGAACTTTCCATCCCCTGTAACATGGCTGCAGTTTGTGAAACAAGATATGGAAGAACAGGGCACAACCCTAGATGTCTTGTTCAAGTGAGAAAACCTTATTCATGCATCCAGTCCCACTAAAGTCAAAGAGACTTCTCATCTGAATAAAGATTATTCCTATATAGCTTTGCAGAATTGGGCTTATGTGATTTTAAATCAAAAAGAGAACAAAGAAGAGTGTAGGGAGGAAAATGCAGAAAGAGAGTCAGCAGGTTTTTTCTCATCCAGCTCTAGGACTGATAACAGCAGTGGCTGGGTACATTTTCTGTCTGCTGGCTGAATGCCTGAGCTATTTTGATTCAATACCAAATAGCACATTTAACAACTCCACAACACACAGGGCTAATTACAAGATTATCGCCATCTCTTTCTCCTATCAGAGCATCCTTCTGCATTCCCACTGTAATATTCTGCAGTACATTTGACAGAGAATCCCTTTCATGTTTGTGAAAATGGATGCAGCTATGGAAAAAAATCCAAAGTGACTGCACTGCTACTAAATTAACCAATGTGAAGAGAGACAAGAAGCAGTGGGGAGGACTGGACAGAACTTCTATTATTGTTCCTCATCCAGGGATAGATCATTATGACCCACCATTCAGACATAAAACTCTATAAATCTCAAGCTTAGTTTCTCTAAATCAGTGGAAATTTGCCACTGACATTAATGGGAGTAAGATCAAACTGCATACAGTGAGCACATTTGTCAGGAAAAGTCAGCCATCTGAAATCTCAGTATAATTTAAGAGAATGAGCCAATTCATGATGAGAATACTTCCCAGTTAGGCTCTACACCTCTAATGTCAAAAAAAGCTTTGTCAATGATCTGTGTAAGCCCAAAGCTGGAATATGAATAATTACATTATCATGGGGAAGTTCACAGCTGGCCCACTATAGGCCAAAATTGTCCTTTAGTTACATCTCAGCCACTCCACTATACTCTATATAACCTAGTCACAAACTGCTTGCCAAAACTCCTTTGAAATGACTGTGGTAAAGACTTACATTTTGTTGTTAGGAATAAGCAAACAGATTTGCAATCCAACCATATGAGAGTCAAGGTCATGGCTTTCAGTGGACAACTCCTAATCGGACTCCCCGCATAAACATAAAACCTAATGTTTGCTTATTATCCTAGCTAGCATTTTAATAGTCTTAAACCGGTTGACAGAGCAGTATGAAAATAACCTCTGTGCTCTATGAGAAGCTGAAACTGTGAACGAATTTGCAGACTCAAAAGCTCTCATCACTTGGGGCTCATGTTCACTAAATTATTTGCCAGCTGCTCTGCTAACCCCATGTTCAGCGTGTTACACATCCCCCCCCTCTGTGCTTGACAAGAGAAGATATGCATTGGCTACAGTGACCAGCAAGCAGATTTGGTCTGTTTGCTCAAGCTGTCACAGTTGTGCTCTTAGATGCGGTGGTTCTGAGTCCAATTCCCAGCAACGCCTACGAGAACAGAAAGAAAGATAAAGCTGGTGAGCCAAAGGGGACAAGGAAGAAGCCGAGTGGGGCACCTTTGTTCTCCTTAGTCAGCTTGTCAGCCATGTCCCAGTGCTCGTAGCTCCGCAGGACGTTGTTGGTGATGTTGACGTGGCTGGCAGCCATGTGGTGGATGCGCTGAGGGATGGTGATGGTCCCCGCCAAGGAGGAGCCGGTGGTGCCCGCGCTGCTTCCAGCAGAGCTGACAGGGGACGGGCTCAGGGACATGGGCGATGGCGTTTCTGTGCTCCTGTGAGGGGTAAAGGGAGAGTGAGTCCCCCCCACATACACCACTCTATTGCCCCCCTACACGCACTTGAAAAGTTAACTCTGCAGCCCAGTCAGGGGAGAACGTGCAATGGTTTTATGAGAAGGGAGAGCTTATAAACTGAGAATGGTTGAAAATAAAAAGGGATTTAATTCTCCTTACAAATGAACCTGTTATTTTTTAAAAAATAAATCTATCACAAAAACAGAGCAATCTTTCAGGGAAAGAAGTATCCCATAGCTGTAATGATTTTTCTACCTGCTGCCAGAAGCTGCAATGGCAGTTAGAAAACACTCAATGTGCAATATTGGCTTATTATCAAAGCATTTTGTGGAAACCACAATGACAGTTTGTTCCAAATACAGTCACCACAATAAGTAAAGTGCACGTCTTAAAAGCACCCTGCAGAGCAGTATTAGGAGCTGAGGGTACTGCAGGATTATGAATATCTCTATAGGATTCTTCAAGACTGGCTATGGAGATTTGTTTCTAATTGCCTGCAGTTCATCCACACAGTTTTGCACAGAGCGGTGTTTTAAGTTACCTACTTAGTGCAGCACTAATGTTCTAATATAGATTTTCCTTTAATTCTAACACCAGCAATTAGGAAGCACCTGCTGGCTGCAGGCAGTGCGGATGTCAGCACAGCAAGCTCACAGTCAGCGCTGCGCAGTGCTGAGCGCTCACATACAGCTATTCTCTGAAAATTTGTTTCAGTGAATGAGATTAAGGGTTCCAAAAATCTCTTCTCTTGCCCCCATTTGGAAGCACTTACCTAAACAAATGCATTCGATTTGCTGTGGAATACACTCAAAATTCAGGGCAGAGATGCTCCCGGCGCTCTCTGCATGAAGCAAAGACACCAGAACTCTCCAGACGGGGATGTTGCAAGCCCTCTCTTGACAGGCAGCCACTGCTGCCTCACGCTGTGCAACAGCATCAGTCTCACTCAGACCACTACGGGCCTGATCCAAACCCCAGGACAAAAGGCTCCTCCTTTTGGCTTTACAAGCCCCCTCCAATGGTCCTGAACACGAAGTGTGGGCCCAGACCTGCTGTGCCGATACCTTGCTGTGCTGTAGGACAGACTGCCACCACGGCACAGCCCTGGGCTGAAAAGCATTTACGGCAACAGCTTTAGCTGCAGATTTTCCAGCAGTGCCCTGCTATTACCTGTGCTCAACAACAGGCTCCTGTGAGACATTATTTTTCCTGAGCTAGAGACCACGTTACTTCAGCAGCTAGTAGCTTTTTACACAGCTTACGTGTTATAACTTAAGCATATCCTACGGCACAGACGTTTTATTTTTAAGTCTCAAAACATCCTGGTTACTTGACATGCCACGGTGTCTTTAATGCACAGTGGAGCTGAACCATAATAGATGAGGTCTGGGAGCAGTTAAAAATCATAAGTATCTGAGGAGACCAGGAGTATTTTGTTAGAGCCACTTACAACAAGCTGACGCACTTCTGCCAAATAAACCACGTTGTTCATTGGATTTATCCTGTTGTGCACAGCCGTTATTACTGTGGTGAGTCTACTAAATCTCTCTATTTCGTGCTTTCTGTCGCTAGAGGTGGGAAACATTTTTGTAATGAAACCAGGAAAATTTGTTTCATTGCCAGCCTGGAATGTAGGCCAACTCTGTAGAGGTTCACAACCCTTTGAAACAAAAGCGGCCAGAAATTCCAGTAAGCCAAGATGAGATTTCTGATGGTCTGAGATCTCAAGCAGACTACACTTCATGGTAATGGATAAATTTCGCTTTGTTCAAAAAAGATTTAAGACTACTTTGCTGTCTCCTCATTCTGAACCAGGATGCTGACGCGTCTCCAGTGGTGCCATACCCTGATGATGTTCGGTCTCTCCTCTGTGGTGTGCGACTTCTCTTCCCAACTGCTACGCATTTGCAGGGGAATAAGAAGAAACTGCAGAGCGCACAGCCCTGGGGAAGGCAGAGCACATGCTGCCAGTGGCAGCACCAGGCCCATGGCAATCCTTGGGACCACCAGGAGATCTAAGATATATGGCAGCTCTGAGCCAGCCGGAGAGCTTTTCTTCTGAGACTCCAGACAGAGGGGATGTCTCAAAATGGCATTGAAAAATGCCTTCAAATGCCTTGAAAAACTGGCACATATTGAATAATTTAATTTAGTAGTTGCTTTTCCAATGTTAAAATATTTTTTTAAAGTGATTTTGTATTTCCTTGGAGTGCCTAATACTCATTTCTTCTTATGAACCACTAGAAAGAGGCCATTGACAATAATAATTTTTACCTAGAATTCAGCCTACTCAAATAAAGAAGGAAAGAAAGGTAAAGTTCTTCTTTGTTCTACCTGTACCTGTATGTGGGGCCAGGAGAAAGGAGCAGAAGCAATGTGTGTCAAGTAGTAATAGACATTGTGAGATAAAGGCAAGGTTGCAGCAGCAATGCACCTTCAAGAACAGCAGCTCAGAACTGCATCGCCCTGACTTCACATCCGAGGCGAGGGGCTTTTCAAGTCAGTATAAAGCCATAATTGGTTGACTAAGTGCCTTCACATTTTCACCACTACTAGGCCTTCAGTTTTATTAAACAGCACTTACCATATATCAATGAAATATTCATTGGTCTTTCATTACTGAATGAATCATTGAAAAATCATTGCAATGAAGGTTAACTTTACTTTGGCTTCCTGAAATGACATGGTACTTGCTAGCTAATTAACAGATATTTTTATGGCCTTCATTTGGCTTGAGAAGCAAATTGTCAAAGAATTCAGCACAGACCCACCACGACTGATTTTAAGCTTAAGAAAGAAGGCTTTGCACAATGATGAAGGTGTGTGCCAGCTCTTCTTTCCCACCCACACTGGATGGCTCACATGGGTACTGGTTTAGTCCAGTGGGAGCCCCTCAACCCCACAAGCCCAAGGCAGTCATAAGATAATTTCTGTAGCCCCGAAGAACACTTTCTACCTGCTACATATTTAAAATATACCTATAGCTGCCAAACCACTGGGTCATAGTCTGCCCTTTGTCTTTAGAGGTACCAAAACATTTCCCCCTTCTTTGGAACCACTTGTTCCCAGACAGAAGCACTAAGCAGAAAATACTCACTTTCCATTGCCGCCCCAAGGTGAGGGGGCCTGTGAAGCTTTCGAAGAGTTCTGTAAGTACAAAACCAAAATGTAAATAGAGGCGACACAAGTACATGGACACTGATGACACAAGGCTCAACACTCCCTGCTTTTGTTGCAAGAGCTGCAGTGCGTGTAGCAGAACAGCTCTGCACATCAGTCTCATAATTAAACGGCTGGTGGATGATTGGAAGGTTCCAGCCAGTAGCTTGAAACTCACTTGATGAAAAGGGGAATACAGTAAAGTTCCAGTAAAAGTAGATATAGTTCACAAAGAAGTGGTTTCATTACCACTGAAACTTATTCCACAAAGTTCTTCAGAGTGCAAATGACCTCTTTAGGGGGACCTGCAGGTTTTTAATAAGATACCTTTTAGTAAAAAACATTTTTAAAATAATTTGGATTGATGCCTTAATGAAATGAATACCTCCCAAGTTCCTAGGGAAGGTGGCTTGGGATTCAGATAGCAGTAGAAATAAAACTTCCAGTAAGGACCTGCTTGAATGCCATTGTTTTTAAAATTGACTTTCCTTACCTGTTTACTCATTCTGCCTTTCACGTCTGTGTAGTGCCTTGTACAGCCCTGTACAGAAAGATTGCCCAGCAACAACAGAGCCCAAATTTTTCCAGCCTTGCTCAGACTGAGTGGTATCTTAGTTCCCATAAAAAGTGGCAGTATCAGGGCCGAAGCTATCTATGTGTGCTTTCTCAAAACAATCTCTCTCGAGCTCCCTTGCAAAGAAGTCAGCGTGCGCAGTGAAAATCCAATCAGATTTTACAAGTTCTCTGCAAAGTATCACCATCATTATTACAAGATTCATTTGGTTACTGAATCGTTTGGCATGTAAGGCACAGAGATTCAGTGGAGCACAGAGCAGTCCAGGGCATGGCCCAAGGTCATGGGGCACAAAATCTTACCCTTGCCTTCTACAACGCAACAAAACTTGCCCAATGGTATTGACCAGAGCAGAGAACGCTGCCCAAACCTTGATACTGGCCTTGCCTGTGTTACTACACAGCTTGCCACTGTGTGCCATTAAAGATGTGAGCATGAAATGGAGTGTTTCGCATTACAGAGCATATACAGTGTGTATTCTTGCCACCCACTCATATGTAAGAAGGGGAGAGATCCAAAACTGCCCTGGAAAGTCTTCAGGGAAGCAGCAGCAGCTTTGATGTTAGTTTCTACTGTCTGGGGATTGCTCCCAACAGGATCTGGAGACAAATACTAGATCTGCCAAGATTAAAACCAGATCTCGATTGGAGGTGTTATTTGACAATGAAAATATCTCAAATATTTTTGCCAGTGACCACTGAACACACATTTTCAAAAACATAAACACCTACCTCAAACTTTTAGGTGAAATGCATCAAAGGATGCCACTTCTGCTGATCTTAAAAAGTTTTATTTCAAACCAAAAATATTTCTCATTTTAGTTATATTTTACTCCAAGTTACCTCTAACAACTAAATTGTTATTTTCTGTTTTGAAATGTCAAAAATATAAATTTGAAACTTATAATTGGAAATTAATCAGAACCAGATCTGTCCACAAATAGTTTCTATTTGGACAAAGTGGAATCTGTGAGGAAAAAATATGAAGAACATTTTTGCCAAAAAAATCCTCTCCAGCTCTGTTGTAAACAGCGGACTGCTTTTTACAGTTAAAATTGTGACAAATTTTGAATAACAATTCAAATAGTTAATCTACTTCATTTGTGTTACAGATTCTAGCTGGTGAACACAAGAGAATATTGCTGTGCAGCAATACTAACATGTAGTTAATAGCTCTCCCTCTTTTCCTTTCTCCTCCTATGCCTTTACTACACAAAGATCCTGAACATATAATCTGTATACACTCAAACGCTGCTCCCAGCAAATAAGTTACAGTGCCCATAGCATATGCACAGTAACGTTAGTTGAAATACTCAGCTTCAACTGGATGCCCCAACCTTCCTGATTTGTCTATTTTATTACATTTTAGGTTTTTTTTTCCTCTTATTTTCATTTACATTAAAAGACATTTTCTCTTTGCGGATGCAGTAAAATGGTCTTATGCTGGGAATAGCAGCATGTTCTTCATTGCAGCTATTTGCACAGATAGAGAAAATAAAGTGGCTTTAAGGGAAGAAAGAATCCTCCACATCCCCTTCTTTTTTTTCTTCATTACTTTCTGCAGAAAAAGTTTATTGAATTATTTGTCTAATAACCTTTTTTAAAGAGACAATCTACGCTCATCCTGGATAAAATTTGAACTGTATGGAATACATTTCATGAAAATGCTGAGGCTATAAATGTGTCTAGTTCAAATTTAATTTGTTGTGCAAATCCCTGACTGAAAACTCTGTGAGTCCAACAGGGGCACTTCTAACGACTTCAAGAGAGCTTCAATTAAAGCAGAAGATCAGGAGTATCATTACTGAAGTTACAGAGATATACACACACACAGAGGACATCAGCAAGGCCAGGACTAAATGGTGGTTGCTAGCCTGACAGTACTGGAGTTTTACAGCAGAAGGACCGTTTTATCACCATTTACATGAAAATATTAAAACTGCAGTGCTAAAAGTTTTACTGGTTTGCTGTACTAATATGTCAAAGCCTGGAACAAATTTGCAGAGGCTGAAAAAAACAACAACGCAGAAAGACTGATGGGCTGACAAACCAGTATAATTACATAATTACAGAATAATATGTAGCAATAAAGTACAAGAATTAATGTATGCTTCAAACAGCATTAACCAGCAAAATATAAATATCAAAGCCTTGGCAGAGCTGAAGGAAGATTCTGTCTCTCTCTTCATTTAGGAATGGTGAGGACTTGTCATTTTTACACTGGGTAAAAAGCATTTGACAAGGTAAAGAAAAACATCACTGAGTCACAGCTATCAGGTGATCTCCACTCGATTCAAGGCAAACTTTCAAGATGTAGATAAGGCGATTTGAAGTTCCACAGAAATAAAAGGAGAAATCTCTGAGTCAAGCTGCAGCAAACCTCACTGAATTTAAAATCTAAATTTAAGTAACTAAAGCCTAAATAACTGCTTTATTAAGGTTCATTTGGGGTCAGTTCATAATTACTTGCATACTGAAAACTTGATAGAATCAGTTTCCTTTACAGAAACTTGCATAAACATTACATGGTGTTGAGAATAATGTTATTTTAGTAGAATTACTGAGTATGGTCCTTTGAATCAAGTAACTAATCCAAAAATCCCCCAAATCACTTCTGTCCCCACTCCCTGGCAGTCATCCTGCCTCCATTTCCCAGGGGAGAGGTTAAATGTGGGACTTTTAAGTCATGCAGTTATAGTTATGAGAGCTCTCAGTGCTGGTATGAATTTCATTTCATATCAATAAATTAAGCAGAATAAAGATTACCTTAAAATATTCCATCAGAGATCTGGAGTACTTCATAGCATGGTCCTTCTTTAGTTTAAACATTCTCAAGTAGAGAAGTGATAAGCATCGGTAGCTGTGGCAATGAGGAAAGGATTATGTTAATTCTATTGCTTAATGAAACCTATAAACTGTGAAAAAAACATAAAATGCTGACCTATATTTTGCAGTCTCTGTTCTAAGGTTAGATTTTCAAACATAACCGAATGGAGGAAAAAAAAAAGTGGTCAAAAGCATTAAAATCCCATCTTGATAAGAGTATAAATTACAAGAATAAATGTTTAGTCAGCTGCTGAAGAAATCCATTAGTTATCCTTTAATAGTTTAATGGAAAACAAGAATAATGATGTTCTGTAAGCTGCTTAAGTAATTCAGTACTTTTAAAGTCCTCCTTAAGATTTTAGCTGCTGCTGTCATTGTCGCAATGGGACTTACCATAAAACTGCTAATTTCTTGTCCCCTTCTGTGGCAGAAGAGCCTGTGAAATTCTTGAGTCTCATTGCATACCTTATCAGAAAGGTGAGAAGAAATTGAGAGTTAAGATATTTCCAGGAATACTAGTGACACTGAAAAATAACAGCCACACACAGATATTCTTCTCCGACTCTGATAGTTAATGGTCACACTGGTCTGTAATGATGAGATCAATGTAAAATTCAACAGAAAGCACCACTTAAAATCTGGAGGGCTAAAATAAATCACCAACCCATTTTCTGGGGCAATGAGGTGAGCTGTTCTTGGGCATATTAATGATTTTCTAGGCTAAGTCCTGCAAACATTTGTGATGAGTGTTGGACAGAGGCGTAAGCTCTTGGCCCTATATGTACTGAACAGTAGAGTAATATATAATGAGGTTTTACATGTAATACTCTGGGCTTGAATACTACTTTCAAAATCCTTCTCATAAACGCTTCTTCAAAGCTTTTGATATATTTTATATAGAAAATGGTTTTAAATACAGGAAAGGTCACGTTCACAGCTTTTTAAATTCTTTGGTCCATTAATTCATGAGTCTTGTGTATTTGATTTTCCCTCTCTATTTAATTGCTGCTGTCCAGCATTTGGATGATCAAAGACTGAGTATTCCTACCTCCTCTTTCTTCTTTTTTTCTTTTTTTTTGCTTTAACTGAGCACACTCCATTCCATGCATTTAGTCTCTTGAAAATCAATTCATCGCATAAAATCATTGTTCTGAGCCCTAATGCAATTTCACAGGTACTTGTGTTAGAATAAGTAATAGGGTTCAGCGTTGCGTAAGAAAGTTTTAAGGTATCCAGGCAGTCTTGATGAGTTCTCATTTACCAGGAGGTAATGGAGTGCAGGCAGGCAGTGCTGCTCTGCTCTGCCTTCCTCCCACCACCCTCATCATCAGCCCCCACCTGATGTGCTTCCTCCGTGTCCCATCTCACCTGCTCTTTGGCATTGTTGTTCCACTCATACTGAATGAATCTCCTCAAACTCATCTCATATGTCTCTTTGGGATTTGCAGTGTTACGTTAGGGATTTTAGCATTATCATTAACTTAGAACACCTCTGCCAGTCAGATCTGATACTCCCAATCTCTTTGATGCTCCACTTGCTTTTACAAAAAGATGTCTGATGCAGATACTCGGGGCAGACACAGCTAATGCAAAAGGGGAAAATGGTGCCTCTGACGAAGGGAGGAGCAAAAGTGAGAGAAATCTTCTATTTCTTATCTCACAGTAAAAATCTATGTTAACATTAGAAGTCACACTGAGAAGGTGTGCGTGCACGCCTACATACTTGGTCTCTTCATTCTGCACCCACTGTAGCCCACAACAATCGTGCGTTTGTCCGTGGCGTTTACTGAACCTGTACCAGCCTGCTGCTAACCTTGGCAATCAGCTTTTTTCTACGTCTGAACACGGGCAGCAACTAAATGGGAAAATCAGTTTCTCAGTGGCTGCCTACAGGATGCTGCACACAAGAGTTGGTAAGTTAAGCTCTACTGTTGATGGTAGGTAGTGGAATTAACCTCATCTGACTTTTGCTGTTTAGAGATTTGAAATCTACTACAACAAAGTCCTCCGGATTCTTCCATAGCCAAAAGCGGTTCAAAAAGCAAGCCCAAAGCAGTTCAGGTGCTGTTACCATGCCAAGGTCTATCTGTTATGTAGCCTGCAGCAGGACTGTGCTGATCCAGGAGCTGCTGGAAGAGCAAGGCACCACTGAGTGCCAGTAGCTCCAGGACGCAGCCGTACACGCAGCTGACTCGGTCCAGCACCAGCACTGGAGGGTGGCGGGGAGCTGCAGGTATCACCCATTTGTGAGCTACTCCTAGAGCTGCCATCCTCCGAGTTAAGTGCTACTGGTGATGTGGCTCTTGAACGAACAAAGATCTTTGGTCCATTTGCATAATTTTTTGTTGAGCAATCTTTTTTCTTCTTCTCTTTGTAAAATGCACAACGTAAAAACATGTTTTTAAATATTTAACGGGCATATTATTTACCTGACAGGAACAGCTTCTTAAGATTTGATACATTTATTATGTAAATACCTGCTTATTCAAAATGTAAAACATGCATTATTTTTGGCAGTCCCTCGTAGCTAATCTAGCACGTTAAAATCCTGCATGTTAAAAAAACCCCACGTTTGTCATATTAAAACCCAAACATTTAGGGTCTGATTTGCCTCCTTTTCTTTCTCTTGTGTAAACCGCCAGTAATTACACTGACATTAATGGTGATATTCCCAGCATCTACTGGGGAAAGCAAAGGTGCATCACAGTGAAGAGGAAAAATCCTGCAGTTCTACTTACAGGTAAATTTAATCCTGCTTGATTTCACTTTGATAATTTGCGCAAGTAAAGCAAACAAGCCCTCAGTTACTCTGGAGACCATTATTTCTACAGAGCCAAAAGTATGAAACAGCTATAGGGAACAGTGGCAGATTTAAAAATAATAATTCAGTAATTTTATTCTAGCCTATGAGTCTACAAATCCGTATTAAAACTAATTCAGCTGCTTCACATTCCTTTAACATTAAAAAATACACTTTTAAAATACAATACTTGTGAAAAGATTCCTCTCTGGCTATGATCTTACATGCCAAGTTTCAGCCTTTTTTTTTTAAAACAGCCAAGTTATAAACCTCTAAAAACAGGGTTTGTAATAGAAATCCTGATAGACGCACTTTAATGTTTTGAATCATAAAACTACACCTTTTAAAAGACAAGTGTCATTGCCAAACAGTGGAATTACTATACTTTACTTCCACCCACTACATTTCAATTTTAATTTTATGAATATTGCAAATTATAACACTCACATTATAACCTCTAAAGGGGATAATTTATAAAAGCAGTGTCCATCAATTATAAATTTTCCGTGGCATTAATAAAATGGCAAGAACTAATTATGATGACTTCTGAGATGAAGATGCCTTGGACAAATCATTAATACGTTGAAATGGTATTTTTTAAAACATAGCAGGTTCTAATTATGACTGAAATGAGATTATGAGAATGATCACAGAAAGGACATTAACCTGATGAGTTCCACAGTCTCTGAGTACATGGTGTATGGAGATTTTGCTTCTAATGGATCTCGCTCCATAGCGTTCCCGCACTCGATGAAGGAGAGGGCAGCATCAGCATAATTCACTGCTTTGCCAAACTTCTCCAGCTGAAATGAGAATGACACCGTCAAGAAAATCCTTCAGCTTTAATTTCTAGGTAGACAGCTCATGACACAAAGCAACACTAGCATTAGGATGAAAGCAAAGTGACGCTGGTAGTCAAGAATGAATGCATACAGTAATGAAGGCAGGGTCTATGTTTTTAACAAGTCTTTTCAGGTAGTACATGGCCAGAGGCTCCAGGGAGGAAAGTCAGTGTGTGTCCACTGACATGCATGGATTTACACAGGCAATGAGGGACACTAAGCGTGTTTGAACAAATCCGTATCACTCCTCAATATATGAACTAAGTTTGAATATCACTATGCATGGGTTAAGTAACAGCTCCATGCCATTTGTCAGACGTCACATTTGGCGTTAACTGTTGACCAAAAAAAAACACCACCTCATCACTTATGTGATGACTGAAAGAGCAGAAAAAGCAAAAGAAGAGGAAATATAGCCCTGCTAAATATTTTATTTTACTAGGATTTTATTGCAAAAGGTTTTAGCCCTCATAACGGTCGTGATTAAACTGACTTAGACATACTGATTTCTTTTTTTATGTGTAATGAATATTATATATGACATTTTTATAGTAAGTATTTTATAACAGTATTTAACATTTTCAGTTTTTGATAGCTGGATGTACGAATTCTACTAATGTGGCATTGGATATAAGAGATCCAATATACTTTAAATAATTTTAAAATTTCTTTGTATGTCTCTATGCAAATATTTTTGATGCATCTGCATATGTTTTCCATTCACAAAATGGAAACCTATCCTAGCAACGTATTAAGCAGAAAATTTAGTATTGGTCCAAGGTAACAGTGTATTTTGCCTTTGAGGCCACTTCTAAGCAATCCTTACAAGTAGTTCCCTCTGTGTATCTTTAATTTCAAGTTCTGCTCTTGTGCACTGCTAATGTACAAAGCCTTTGTCTATCTGATGGGTATCACTTCAATGATGACAAAAGAGGAAATAATTCTAAATATGTTCTCTCTATTCCAATGGCCACTTCTCAGCACATTCTTCAAATTCCTTGCTTCAAGTCTTCCAGGGATGACTTTTTGGGAAATAAAAGGAATAAGAGTCTGGCTGATAGCAGATATAGTACAGACACATAGTTTGAGCCAGAAATGGTATCCGATCCTGTCCTTCACTCCACCCTGACTTTAGTGAAGCAGGTGGAATTACTCCAGCTCCTCACAGCCCAGCCAAGAACACAGCGAGGTCTCCAAGATCTCTTCCATAGGGTACAGCCAGTTGCCACTGCAGCAGCCCACCCAAATTAGTCGATTCCTTCCCGCCATCGCAGACAAGAATAGGTTTTCATGGGGTTGCTCCCACAAGACGCAAAACGCCTTGCCCTTCACCAGAAATCTGCTTTTCGTACAAGCTCAGGAACAGCATTGCCACAAATCTCATTAACATTTGCTGACACATTTTGAGGTCACACACGTTATCTTCCCAGCCGCTGCAACACATCTTTCAATGCTGCGTGTGCTTTGTCGTGTCAGCACCAAGTAACCAGAAGCAATTGCTTCCACAGGACAACTCACGCTACGGGACTGTGCAGCAAACACAGATATATTGGGTGGACAAAACAAAAAAAGTTGAGACTTAAACAGCGAAAAGAAAAAGCAGATACTTCGTTCACGGGTATTTATGTCTGCCAACAAGTTGTATCGTAGTGAATAGCCTCGCATTCCCAGAAGAGCACTCCGAGTGTCAAACTGCATGTGACAGGCAGGGCCTGCCTGCAGGCAGCAGTGTGACGTGCTGTGCCTGCTCCTCTTACTTCTGCTTGAGGAGCACCCCTGATTCCTCAAGGCATAGTCAAAGGTAAGAGGACAGGAGACAGGTCAACACTTTCTGAGTAAATCAGGCTGTGGAGGGAAGTGGATTGACATAGCGTGTTGAGATTATCAGGAGTCTGAGCCTGTAAATATTTTCTAGTGTAGAGCAGCACCCCTGTGCCAGAACCATGTGTGTTTTCTTTAAAGGTCAATCAGCTGTGGGAGGTGTTGTCAGTCTGCTGCTGCCAGCCTTCCTGTGCACAGATGTCAGGGCTCTGGCTGAACGGGCTCTGCTGAGTCAGGCTGCAGGAGTTGGCGCAGGCCACCTCCTGTAGATGGGCAGGTCGGGAGGGACAACCGCTGACTTACTGACAGTCATGACAGGCTGCCAAAAACCTGAACCCACCTCCCACAGAAACCACATTTGGCAACACTGTGCCTCAAGTCAAAAGGGAGCCCAGCGCGCTGAAGCAGGCAGCTTGACACGTCAACTCTCCTTTAGCTCATCAACCACAGAGGGAGAGCATGTTTCTTTTCTATTATTTGTTTCATTGCTTTTTAAAAACATAGCATGTGATTGTTTGGGGTTTTTGGGTTTTGGTTCTTTTGTTTTGGTTTGGTTTTTTGGACAAGCCTTATTTCCAAGCACAAAACCTCCGATGTGGAATGATATAACGTGCATGCAAAAAATACACAAGTAATAAAGCAAGAGGTGAATAATCACCCAGTTCTTTTTCAGTTACAATTCTGAGGGGCAAAGGGAATGGCTACGCTCCATTTTAGACATCTTAGTTTGAATAAATAGAGGAGTTAAGTTCCACTAGGCCTGTGTAAACAAGCTGCACTCTACGTTGCGTAGAGAAGCAAATGGCCATTAAAGGTACTTCAGTGCTAGAAATAGCTTGAATTGAACAAACTCTCACAGAGTATAATCCGCCAGATTAAGTAGTTCTATCGAAATCAAAACATTTTGCAAATTTAGGCCAATCTTACTGGAATTTCATCTAGGGTAAAGTGAGTAAATAAAGCTTTCCCAGCATTGAACTACCTCATCGCAAGATTTTCTGGGAAGAAGAGTTTAAAGTTTTTACTTACCTGCCTAAAAGCATGCAATAACAATGAATGTACTATTTAAAAATAAATTGTTGCAAATTTTAAACAATTGGATTGGAACTATCAAAGAGTTTTACCACGTGATAATGGGGTGGAGGGTGGTCTGCCTTTCTTAGCTTTCTGTTATGGAATATTTCAACACTTGGTTTTGGCTCAAAGGGAATAGCAGAACAAATTTCACATACAGATAATCTTTCATAAAATTTTCTTATACCCTTCATAAACAGCATGACTGGTGCTTCTCCTCAGAAAAGGTACCAGCTATTGTAAGCTGCTTTTTTTGGGACCAAACTGTTAGAGGCTAGAAATGGCGCTCAGGGTTTGACTTCTTGTGGACAGTGTGTCTAAGGAGCACAAGCTGAAGCATGCTTCAGTCCATAGCAGGGTTCCTCTTGGTTTCTGAGGCTTTAGATGACATTCAGAATGCACACTTTTGTAACACCCAGCTCCATGGTGGAAAAAGACAAAAAAGACCTGATAACCTACCAACGCATCTGCTTTATGCTTCAGCTTCTTAGCCTCTTGCATGTAATAATCCGCATTGTGAAGCCTAAAGAGACAAAATCAATTATTTCAAATCTCTGTTTTCATACAGTTGGGCAAACATTGTTTGAAAAAAATTGCTGACTGCTTCCAAGAACAATTTCAACACGTAGTCCCACTTATGTCTTTAAATCTTAACCTGATATTAATCTGAATCTGCTGTATGCAAAGATATGATGGGTGATCAGAATGTAAAATAAGTAGCTGTAGAAACTGGCCACCCAAAGGACTCATTAGTGTGTGCTGAAGGGAGGAAAAGGAAAAACATTTTAAACTAATTAAGTATAAGAAGTTTTCATTAGAGGAGCTAAAATAAAAAAAATGAAGAAGAATTACTGTGAACCAATATTCATGCTCTGAAAACATTTATCAACAGAGTCTTCATTAATCAGTGACAACAGTTCATTTGCAAAGATTAAAACTGTGTGCTTTCGTGCAGCACTATCCACACAGGTGCCCAATGCTGGCTTTATAATCAAAGATACTCGCTTTCACCGGGAGCTCTGCTTGCATGAAAATCCCAGCTACCTAGAGTGCAGCTAGCACAGAGATCCAACAACACTTACGCATCATCAAATGTTATTTTGGGTCTTCTGGGCTCAGAATTCCCATTGGAAAGTGCTGGCATTGTAGACCAGATGTCTGTTTCTAGATGGCTGGTGTCAAGGAGAGCGTTGGCTGTTGGTGTATTGTGAGATTCTTCCTCCTAGAAAAAAAGGGACTGCTACGAACTCTTCATAGTTCAAACACACACCTGCCAACAACACAAGTGCTTACATCCACCTCCCCCCAGAAAAAACCCCAAAACCTCACAAAACAAAAACCCCAAAGAAAAGACTAATGTACAAGGTAACACTCATATACACCCAACTACATCCAGGTTACCTCACAAAACCACCCTTCCATCTTTTATAACAAAAGCCAATTAGATTAATTAGGCAATATGACTCTACCTCTGACCCCACACCTGCACTCAATGACTTACACTCTCAGGTGAAGTCAGCCTGGATATCAGTGTTACTGACTGCAAACACAGGTTAAAACAAGGGTGGGGATATCTAATGCAGAAGAGCTGAATGGAAACTCAGCTTCATTCAAGGTGTATCACACTAATATAACCTTTTTTTCTATATTATTATTATTAGCTAACTGTCAGGTGTCTGAAAAGTCTGCTTGATTTCAGCAAGGAACAGTTTCCTCACCCTGCCTACACAGAACAGAGGGAAGAATGAAAAGAAGAAGTCAGGAGTTTTGCCTTTGCATTGATTAAAACCAGAAGCGTAGCAGAAGCATTTAAATCAGGCAACTGCAACTTTCAAGCTAGGTCCACAACCAGATAAACTAAATTGCAGATGAACCAATGAACTAGGCAAAGAAGTCTAATGTATTTTAGAGGACAAATATTTAATGTATCAGGGTAATAGATAAGCCAAGGATAAATGTGACTCGAGATGCTGGGAGTGAGAGGAAGTGGCCCTGCTGTTTACATAGCATTGTTTATTTGCTGACATATGCAGTTCGTTTTGGCATTGATTTCAGTTGAAGGCGTGTGTATTACTCTCGCAGCTTGAAGTGACACAATGATATCAAAAAGCTACAGGGATGAATGAATAAGGTGAAGTGATTTGTCACCTACGATCCAATGCAACTTGTGAGTTTTACCATTACAGTTGCAGGGTAACAACCTCTCACAAAGTGGTGAACTGTAAAGAATACGGCTATGGATGTCCTTTTCTGAGGCAGAATTTTCTTCTTGTCTTTTAATTTTGACAGTGATACTAAGATACAGTTTGAACGATATATTTGAAACCCTAGAGGGAGGACTACTTTCTAAAATGGGGCAAAAACCCTGAAGTTTCCCTCTTTAATCTAAAAGAGGATGACAAACTGATTGATTTTTTTTGAGAATTTGCTATGCTGTTTGGGCTCTTTTTCACGCATTTTCAGTAAAAAACCTGTATGAATCTGGTGAAAAGCAAGCAAGAATTGTCTACGTGAAAACCTTTGATGGAGAGATGACCCTAACAGAATGACATTTTTCTGGGGGAAAACCCAAACCCAAACACGGTATCTAAAAGCTTATATATGTAATTCATTGGAAGCTGAGGGCATGCAAACCTGAGAGAAGGGATTTCTGTGCTGAGTGTGCTATGGATAGGTAGCTTTTTTGATAGATTTGTATTGTCTTTTTAGTTTAGGCTGCAATACTCAGTGTAACTACAGTGCTTAATTCTGGATGAGAACCTGAGGTAACTATTTAGGTCACGGATACCAAAATTCTTGAAGTGTTATTTTCAAAACGTCTTGTGTTGCAGCTACAGAGTTAAGGGACTAATTACAGCTAGTTGGTGGCTAGAGAGGATCCCCTTTGAGGCTCAGGGACCGTGTGTTTCAGGGAGCGATACACAATGCCAAGCAGTAGCCTAAAAATGACCTAAAAATGGAACTTGCAAGAACTGCTTATGCCTGGCTCTGCAAAGATCCACTCCTTGCTGTTCTTAAGTGGGGCTACATAAACATTTAAAAATAGATACTGGGGGAAAAAAAAATCAAACAGAGCAAAGCTAAGTTGATTTTATTTTATCTTGTTCACTTCCAGCAACTGAGGTTGGTTACTTACACAGATTCCTTTGGGGTTAGAAGAGGGTTTATTTTCATTCTTTCTGTGTTTAGAAACAGAGGAGGAAGAGCTGCTGGTCTGCAAGGTGTTAGTGATGTTGGTCTCTTGGCTGAAGGAGCTGTTGTCACTGCTGTGCCGCCGGTGCACGGGCTCGTCCAAGAGGGGGGATAATGGAGGAGGGAACAGCTTCTCTTCTCTTTTTTTTGCCACCTTCTTCACCGAGCTACCGTTGCTCCTGGGACACAGACAAGAACCAGTTGCATTTCAAGAACATTGGTAGCACAAAGCTCTAGAGTTTATTTACTGATAAGCCAGCGCTGCCTTCAAATATGCCATGCAGTCCCCATGTCCTAGGAGCTAAGTCAAAAGGGGACAGGCAGCGAAAACAGAAGAGCTACCTCTGACTTGTCAATGGCTGCAGAAACCTCCTGCTTTGGAGGACAGCTGCCAGTGCATTAGTAAAATTGCACCCAATTTAAATGCTAATTTCAGTCAGTCTTCATTTGAGAGGTCATAGAGGTTTTGACTCAGCAGAGTGCTGGAAAGTTTTATGCACGGGGTTAGTTCCTTTGACATCAAGCATAACTATTTATGTGTTTAACATTAAGCATCTTTTTAAGAGGAGGATTAGGGCCTAAAATAAGCAATCTTGGCAAAAAAAACCTTAATAGCACATGGCACGTGAACCGAAAAAATAATTTATAACAACTACAAAATGATAACCATAACAATAACAAGGTAATAATTATTTGACCTCTAGAATAAAACCACTGATCAACACTATATTAAAATGATACACTGTAGCTGGCAAAAGCCCTTGAGCAAATATTGGTTGATGAATTGAACGTGATTCAGAAAATGAATGTGGTTTTGACCTGAAAGCTCAAGTAATATGATAATCTATTGTCTGTTTTATGTACAGAAATTGTTAGCTGGCAAGAAATGGTAGCTGTGATACACAGTAAAAACAAAAAAAAAACCTGCTAGGCCTTTCTCTTCTCAAATCCATCAAAAAAGAAAAAACCAGAACCCAACAGCCCACTAACAATTTAAGATGTTAATCTACTCACAGATTTTTATTTTGGGTACTGCCCTAGCTCAGTCAATGAAGATAACCTGAATTTTAATCTTTTGTTAGAAATCTAATATTGCACTGCATGATCATTTACTTTTCATTATTGTTGACCAAAATTTCAATAACAAATTATGTCAACAAGAATTTAATGTTTTGTTTCCAGTCACTTTCAGTCAGTGTCAGGAATTACAGATCTACTTTTCCTTAAAGTAACCAGGGAAAGCAGAGAAGGCAACACAAGTTTCCTTACTGCTCATGTTGGAGCTCGCTCTCATTCCAGTCTGGCCTCTTTAGCAGTTTCACCAATACCTACTCCTGCTTTGGTCACTCCCCTGCTTTGGACCTTTGGTGATACAAAACTATTTGTGAAACCACAGACTAAAATCAAGCAAACTCCTTATGTTTCAGTTTTTATAGCTTTTATAGCTTTTGTACTCAAAACTATTTTAATTTGACTGAAGCAGAGTTAAAAACATCTTTGGAACTCTCTGATATTAAAGATCTTCACACTGAAGAAATCAAATGAGCACAGAATTCATAAGTAGGACTGGTATGGATGCTGTCCTGCTCAGAAAACACACGGGCCTGAAGAAGATCAGGTTGGAAGAGACTGGGAGTTCTTCAAGGAGGCTGGCTTTATGCACACGTGGTCCTGCAACACGTCCTCCAAAAAGTTCTCACTCAAAACCTCACCTGTTAGCTTTCTTTCCCCCAAAGGGCATTTGGGAATGCAGACAAGTTAAGATAGTTATAGCATAATAATACTCTGAACACCTGAAGAAACCTCAGTGTGAGCCCATGGCCAAGTCCCCTTTAGAATCTGACCCTGCAGCACCAGTGAGGTTCCTCACCGCATCCGTGGCTGCTTCCAGGGCTAGTCCAGGACTCTGTCACTTGCACACAGTCAACCACTGCATAGGGAAATTTAAGGCACATATAAAGTAATTGAAACAACATTCCTCAGCTGCTGCAGGGATGTGGCTGGATTAAGAGTACAAGAAAAAAATTATGGCAGCTGCGGGTACCATGGTTAAAACTTCACCAGTTCACGTCATCTTTGGATTCAAATAGAAGATGGGGCAAACAAAGACACAGGTGCAGCTCCTCAGCTTTGACACACAGGTCATCCTGTGAGCGGGAAGACTTAACCATAAAGGAAATTACACTTGAGGATATTTTTTACTACATAACTCAAAGAAAAAGAAGCAAACCAAAACACTAACAATCCTTTGTAGCTATAATGCTGTCTGTTGCTTTCTTTTCTTTTCCCCCGTATTTCCAACTTAACCCTATGAATTTTTGCAGGAATTAAGCTGATAATTTCTTTAGCAATGTTACCTCCCTCAGATTTACGCCAAAGCATTTATGTTAACAATAACCTCCATGGAATAGGTTGTTACCAGCAGTTAACCAGATTGTCACTTTGCTTTGGGCTGTTAATGGGCTAAGAAACTGGTCCTTGATTGCAGGAATCGCTAATTTTGAATGAATTTATTGCAATAATTACCAAGACTCAACGGTTTAATTTGCTGACATGACTGTTAGTTAAACTATATTTAAAATCTACGGAGAAACACAATAAAAGTGCAAGGATTGTTACCAGCAGTTAACCAGATTGTCACTTTGCTTTGGGCTGTTAATGGGCTAAGAAACTGGTCCTTGATTGCAGGAATCGCTAATTTTGAATGAATTTATTGCAATAATTACCAAGACTCAACGGTTTAATTTGCTGACATGACTGTTAGTTAAACTATATTTAAAATCTAGGGAGAAACACAATAAAAGTGCAAGGGAAAAATACAAGCAGAACTGATAGTCTTGTGGCTGCAGGGTTTAATCTTTGTGTCTTAAAAGACCAATTATCAAGGAAGAAGGCTCCCCATCTGCTTCTTTTTTTTCCCAGCCTGATTTCTTTCAGGGCAGAAAGCAAGCAAGCAGGCAACAAGAGGTCACGGTGTGAAGGAGAGTGAATTTCCATCTACTCTCACATTTCGAGCTGCCTTTCTTTATCCACTCCTTGTGGCATGCAGTGGTATCTCTGGCCTATTAGTGAGACAAAGCCATTGTCTATACCAGTCACTTGGTTTTCCCGTGCCTCTGCTCTCCCTGTCCACAAGGAAATGCCGCACATTGACGATGTATCTGATTTTCTGCAGGGGGCTAGCAGGGAAAGGTCACTCTCGCATTAGCGTGGACCATATGGCAGCAACTGAATGAAGCCGAGGTCGTCGTAGATGTAGGAGGCTGCCTCCGCGGAGAACCCTGACGAAGTGGAAATCTTGAAAAACGGGCTGAAATGCTTGCCTCACACAGACTTCTAAGTGTGCCTATTAGATGGCAGGCGTGTTTCACTGCTATGAGTCTGGTTTGAAATTCAGACTGCCAAACGTTGCCAAGTAGTGCTCTGTCTGCACTGGGTCTACCAATCAGGTATTCAGCAGCACATATGTACAATTAATGCTTGAACAAAAATTGCTCTGGCAAGCAAGTAAATACATATAATCCTCTGCTGCAAAGCTGGGAGCTGATCTGACAAAAATCCAGCCTTACAGCAGTGTTATAACTATGAATTACTTGGACAAAACACAGGATCAACTATTCCTTCATTTGCTATGAAATATCAGATATAATACAGTTTGAATAATTATATTTTAAGTGTCATGTCAGAGGCATCAGCCCGAGTGTATGAGGGAAGGAACAGGGAGATAACCAGTTGCCTGTGCAATGACTACATAATACAATGTGGCTTTTTGGTTGTGCAAACGGCTTTTAAGTTCACAACTGACCCTTTGAAATTTCTACACTCAAATTGTACATATAGCCATAGAAACTTGTGGAAATCAGGCATATAATTGCCCACATTAGACATGTAACCCTTTAAAAATTAATTGTGCATCTTTGCTTGCTTTATTGAGCCATATATTTAGAGAGAGATTACGAAAGAAATGTATTCAAAGACCTAAACCATCCATAGGCAGCCAGTGGGACCTGCAAAACACAGGTGTGGCCTATCTTTCACTGATTCACAGAGATCATGATCTTTCTGTCAAAACACTCTTGTATCTACAAAAAAGCCCAATGAACTTCTCTGAAGTCTGCCTTGGAAAACTTTCCGTGTTGGCACCGGGATCAACTTCTAATGGGAGAGACCTAAGGTTCCTAACTGAGTGAGAACATCCACCATGGGACATAACACCTTCTAAATGGATGAACATCATCATCACACCTGTTGGTGAATAACCTTCATTTCTCAAAGTCCTTACGTAGGGACTTAGGAGTTCTGAAAGAAAATGTAGGACCTCTGGGAATAAAGGAGCAAATGACAAAGTCTGTCTTTCAACCTTTTACCACTGAAGTGTTCTTTTACCCCACGGCCTTGAATAGTGTACTTTCAACTTCCCCTTTCTTCTGCCTCCCCTTAAAATTCTACATAACCCTCCAGAGAACAGAACCACTCCTAACTGCTTAAAAACAATCTGGGGCTCTCCAGCAATTTGTCATCTCACAGTTCAGCCAGCTCCCTAATCTTTTGGGAAATACATTGATCTACATTTAGTTGCACATCTCTGGGAGTTGAAGGCCTGAATTATCAAACAATATTGCATTTATTTCAAGTGAACTCAGAAGACACTAATAACAAATGCAACGGGATCCAAGTTTCGATCACTGCAATGGAAAAGTAGTCAGAAAATGTAGCTTCAAAACTTGAGGCAGATGAAAGAAAAATCTGGCATACGAAAATAACTACTGATGGACACAATTATATTGTAGCTTCAAAACTTGAGGCAGATGAAAGAAAGATCTGGCATATGAAAATAACTACTGATGGACACAATTATATGTTAACAGAGAATACCAAAGGCTTGAAAGCTCCGAGGAATCAAATTAATGACCTGGAAAACAAGCCCAAATTAAGAAACATCAGGTTGGGAGTGGATCCTTAGGGCCTGCTGGCGACAAGAATAGAAAGACTTTTTTTAATGGATTGTGAAGGTGTTGGGAATGGATAATCTTTGATTCCCTCTGCAATATATCTCTGCTCATTGTATTTCTAGCAAAGACAACCAGGCAACACCCATCATGATGTTTATTAAAAGTGCAACGTGTTACAGATCCCATTGTAACTTTCAACTCATCTGCCTCTTCCAGACTCCAACCCTGATATTCTCAGCGGTAGAATGTTAGTGCAAGGACTGAAGTTACTCTGTAATTACATCAGTATAAATGAAATTATGCACAACCTTCCTTACGGATTTTTAAATTTGTGTGCTATTTCAGAAATCACTTTTGAACATTATTTAAATGTAAACACTACTACGATCAAACTGTTTTCAGAGGCACATTGTGGGTTTGATTCTTTGCTTTTCCTAGGGCGAAGTAGAAATAAGTGCCTCATCTCAAAACTGTAAAAGAACAGAACTGATGACCGAAGGGAATTGGACACTGGTTATTTATAGAATGTTAATCTTGTGATTGTACTAATCAGAATCATTGTTTATGTAGCACCTGTCTGCTCAAGCATTATAGCCATCTCTCAAAGACACTCTGAAAGGCACAAACTATTTGATTATATATCCGCTGAAATACAAAGCACGTATGTCTGAAACATTTAGGATGCTCACCCTTGGCATTGCTGTATACACAGTTAAAGAATAAGGGCTGCTGAAGTGAATAGCAAAGTCACTATTCCATTTAATAGAACTGTCTCTTGCAAAAATGATTTTAAAAAATAGATTCCAGGCAGTCAAATAAAGCCCACTTTTAGTAGGATTCTCTGGCCATAGAGGTTAAGGATGATGGGGGCAAGAAAGAACATTGACAGGATGCAGTGTGGGGGTAGAAGAGTACACCAGGATTGTGGTGGTGCTCTGAATTCCTGAAGCCCATCAGAAGTATGAACGAATCTCATCCAAAAACGTATGGATCCTCTTCCTGACGGATGGGAATAGCAACGCCGGGTCACTTACACTTATAGGCTGTAAAATCCACCTGGCTCTACGGCAAGGACATTTGTAGAACAGTACTGTAAAATCCCTCGTGAATGTTACGTGGGGTAAAAAAAAAGAACTTACTCTTTAGTGCTGGTTAATCTGTGATTTGGTATCGGAGAGATACAAGGTGGGAGCAGGCATGAAGCTGAAGGGTCCTCCAGGCGCTGCTTCTTGCTTTCAACAAAGGTATCCAGGCTTTCCGGCTGCTTTAACAAAAAAAAAGTAGAGCTTGAAAGATGCGGCATTTATGGACAATTTCACTTGCCGCTAAAAGGAGCTCAGGAATCTCAGTGTACTTCCTTTACAGCAGCAGCAGTTAAAATACTGGTCTAAGAGCAGCGAAAGTCACCTGAAATCAGGGCTAACTGTGCTCCAAATACATGACACGGAGTTATACAACAAGTGACACAGCCAGATAATTAGGAAGCAAAACGCCTCATGTGCTATAGTTATCTTCTGTAGTTCTGGAATTTAATTAATAATTCAGATGGAATGACTTGATAGCACCAAATCTTACTCGTGTAAATAGCTTTTACTCATTGACTTAATGGAAGTCGATGGGACAACTTCCCTGAGTAAGTATTCCTCACAGGATTGAGAGACTGCAGGACTGAGCTGAGGCTGTCATTAACAGCGATAACTGTTTCAGAATTTGCTTTGAAAGATTCCCTGATGCATGACTTTTGTGCCTGAACCAGGATGATACAAGCAAAGCTGATTACTGCTCTGTCACTGGAACCTTTGTATCAGCCTTCAAGCCCACTAGTAGATGGCTAAAGTAAATCTTTTAATAGCATGGTTTAGAAACCAAAATCAGGCCCTCCCTCCCCTGTTTTAACTGTTGATACACGCTCAAGTCATCCTAATTGGTTTGTTTCCCCTTGGGTAGCAGTGAACAATCACACAGCAACTGAACGAGCTGTTTCAGAGCGTAGCTTATGTTTGTACAATCCCAGAGTGAGATTCCTCATTTTGCTACTTCCCGATTCAAAGTCCCAGTTAATGAAATTATGTGGTTCCAAATTTCATATAACCTTCCCTCTTTTTTCTTTTTCTTATACCCGAGAGCCCTTAGTTTATTTGCCAATACCATACTCTTGTTTTAGCCAAGATTACTTTTCCATCATATTGACACTTCACTAAGTCACCTAGCGAGAAGGCTTTTTGTAAAATTAATATACACCCTGGTGTACTTACACATACACATAAGCATGGATGTTTATACATCCCTTTCCTCTTTCTTTTTTTCTCCTTCCTTCTTACATCTCTGCCTCCTGTGTACAGCTAGAATATAAATCGCATAAAAACCTGCTGAGTTTACTCATGTGATTATTTCCACTTAATTCAACAGGGAAGGAGCCAGTGCAGTGACTCACATAGGCAGGGGTACAGACCCTGTGTCTGCCTGGCACTGTCTGTCTTTGTCTTGTATTAACTCTCTCATACCACTCTGCTGGATCTCGTACCAAACCACTCAGGATTTCAAGAAGTCCACTAGAACAGACAGCAGAAGTCACATTCACGACGATTTATAGAATTTGGGGGGATATCAAAAATATGCTATGATGACTTCTCACAGACCATTCTCAGTACAACCATCTCAGCTGAAAAAAAAATGACTACAAAAATTCATTCGTGATATAAAACTTCAGTTTCTTTTCTGAAAACACATTTGGTTTGAGGTGCGCTGTCACATCCCACAAGATAGGATACCCTTGGGCATGAATAACATAAAACACATGATAAAACATAATGCCTCAAGTCAAAACATTTGCTTTTTCAGGTAGCTGTGTAGAGAAAGCAGCTAGTTAAACAAATGATATTTCTATGAAACACATTTGTTTATACAACTAAACAATATAAAGACTAAATTCACCAGAATCACAACCAAGCACCATTCCACTGACTTGAATGAAGCTATGCCTGTTTACACCAGTGGTGAAAATGCCTTAATTCTGCAGACAATAAAACCCTGCCTTCCAAACAGCAGCCGTTATTTTCTGAGTACGGCTGAACCCATAGTAATACAAACTCATCATTGGGAATCCTTCTGCAGATTACAGAACACCGGAAATTAATGGGTAAGTGAACAAATACAGTGGAAAAGCTTGTAAGATAAATCTCAAAAAACCACATTGTTCATTGACTCTGTCAGCTGGAGTTTGTTTTGCACCAGTCGCTGATGTTAATTTGTAATGCACTTCTTTGTAAAAACAATAAAGTTATGATGCCTCCTTACAGCCCTGCTGCAGGTGCAGTGAGGAATCACCGACAGACCTCGAGGATGCACAGAAATGCAGCGTTTTTCTCTGAAAGGTGAAAACTACTTACCTTGTGTTTCCTTTTGGATTTTGTGGGTGGTTTCTCAACTGCTGGGGAAGGGGACTCTCGAGATGGTCGCCTGTGTTTCACATTTGCCTCTCTTGGTTCACTTTTCACAGATGCGGTCTCAAAAGGCTCTTGTCCAGGTATCCTAGAGAGTAAACTAAGGTCTATTTTCACCCAAAGAGATTTGAGTTCTTCATATTCTCTCAGTGGGGACAGAAGTTCATTTTGTACGATCGGGATAGGAGAAAAGAGCTGCTCCTCCAAGTCATTGCTGGTCTGGTCGCTGGATGTGTTGCTGCCATTGCTAGTTAAACTACTTACGCTGAGGATGTTACTGCCTGAGTCCTTCACTTTGATGCCATTGGCAGGCCCACTGCAAGCTGGCAATACCTTAGCCTGCAAGCTCTCCTCCTGGTCTGTATTGGAGTCAGAAGTAGATGAATCTGTTTCAATGAATTCCCGGGACTTAGGGACAATTTTGCTGGGGCCTCTGTACTTTTTCTTCTCTGAAGTGAGACCTGTGCTAGTTCGTGGCTCTTTCCTTGGAGCGGTCTTCCCAACTGCTGCTTTAGTTCGAACCTTTGGCTGCTCGGGGGGTTCCTGTGTGTCTTTCTCTTTGGGAGTGTTGCTGGTATTATTTGGTTTGGGCCAGTTATACTCTTCTACACTGGAAGTCCTTTCTACCTTTTTGGGTTGCTTTTTCCAAGTAGTCCTTTGTGAAGTTGGCTCATTATGAGCTGGTGACTTCTGCTTGGAGCTTTTTGCCTCTGGGGTTTTCTGGGCAACCCGCGGTTTGGCTTTCTCTCGGATGGGACTAAGGATCGCCCGGTCTTTGGAATCGGTCGGGGGCAGGCTGCTGTTGAGCTTCCCTTTGTTTTGCCCTTCGGCCTGCTGGTTGCTCTGGGCCTGGGAGCTGGTCTCGCTGTGAGGCTCATTTTGACTGTTGATGATGGTCTTGTTGTGGGGGTTCACTTTATTTAGCCATTTATCCAGCTGCCATTTGTTTGTTGAGGGTGGTTCAGGCTGCAGTTTGAAGAACGACAAAGAACAAATCTCAGACAGAAGCAAGGCTTTTCCCTTTAAACGAGAACGTTTTTAACGTACCCTTTTATTTCAGTCAACTCGTGGTGACTACGAGTTTTATGGGAGTATTTATGGAGTATTTATGGTTAATTAGGCTTCCTTATCTGGTTTACAATGAGGCCCTGGAGAAATTTAATACAACTAAAAAGTTTAGCTGGTCCCTGAAGACATAGTTTTGTCATGTTGCCTTTCCTTAGTCCCAGCTGAATACTGTGTCAATAGAATCTTCTCTAGCTACTGGCAAAAATCTAAATATTTCTTTAAAGCAATTCAAATGTAGGCCAGAAGGATTCTTCCAAAAGCTGGAATGAGTATGTGGGTCATACATGTAAAACTGTAAAGGAAGAAAAAAGTTGACAGCATCAAGCGGCACAGAACTCTAACATTTTCCTCACACGGAGCACAACTTCACTTCCTTCCACATTTCCTCCTCTGAGCTCCCACTGGGGAGGAGCTGAGAGCGCGGCTTTACCTCTGGCGTGGCACTGCGCGACTCCTCGTTGCACTCGCTGTCACTGGAGCTGCTCTCACTGTCAGAGTCGGACTCAGAGCTGCTCTCGGACTCGCTGGAGCTCCCGGAGCCGCCGCTGGAATGGGCCAAGCCGGTTGCGTGTGTTGCCGGCACGGGCAGGCTGCTGCGGGGAGAAGATCATCTTGTGTCAGCGTGCTGCTTGTCTTTTGTAAAGCGTTGCCTTGCAGGGAACAACCCAGTGAACCCGACTTTCCTCGGTGTCAACTCCCTCCCCTGCAGTACAGGCCAAACGAAAGCTCCAGCAGCCACCAAAGGAGCCACTCGGGTTTATGCTTCACGGGACACACTGATAAAGGCATTAACAACATTACCATCATCATCACCCTCAAATGAGAAACCCTTCAGTGTCACAAGCCTCAGCTTATTAGCCCAATGATTGCGAAAACTAACAATCATGCTTCAATAATTTATTAACGGAATCATGGTTTCTGCATTTTTTTTGCTGGTTCATTTATAATTTATGCTCAAAGAGAGGACATCAGGCAACTAATATTGGACAGGGCATTTTAAAAATTAATTTTAATGAATACTTTTACACCGCGGTGTACAAAAACGACGTATTTTTGACAAGTCTCCAGGGACTGCCCAAGAATTTTTTATTTATAGCTGTTTTTTCTCTCATGTTTACGATAATGCGGTGAGAAAGTGGCATTCATGCTGAAAATAAGCCTTTCTGTGAAATCTATTTTCCTGTGTGTTCAACTGTCCTCCAAGATGTATTTATTAGCAGTGCACTGGGTGTCATTGTTTTTCTTCAGCATTTATTTCTAATCTGAGAGGTTGGATGACCCCAGTTTTTAGCACTCCAGAATTCTGACAATCTGGGTCTTTATAGACTCATCTTTAATGTCAACCTTTTTGTCAGGGAGATAATCATAACGTTTTATGTCTCTTCAGCTGATCTATACCAAGACTTTTTGATGATTGATTTTAAATTTGTGAAGCTGACAAAGCAAAGTGTTTGAAAATTGACACCATTTGCTAGTACTCCTTTATGGATATTCAATACTTTACCTTAATATATCATATGCTCTGTGTGTTCCATATTGAGTGATCCAGAGATGCTACAAGTTATGATACAGCTTTGCCTTCATTTCTGCTACCTGCTTTTCTGCTTTCCTCTGAGGAGGATTCAAGCAAACCAGGTACATGTCCTCCATCCCCTTTCAAACCGAGATGCTATGCGCATCAAGATGCCCTCTTAAAAAAACACAGTAACCAAGAAACTGGAAGTTGGAAAAGCCAGAAAAACCTGATGTGTGACCCTGCTCTGCTAGAGTCTTTGCAAGTATTGCCATTGGCTTCTGTGACTATAATAGATGGTCTTTAATTTTCTTCTTACACTGAGCTACTTTCTCTCTCCCTCCTTGTTGGTAAACCTATCCCTTACGCTGCGGTTGGTAACGTAACTGTCTCTTTGAGCATTGCAATGGCCCTGCAGTGCCCATTGACAAAACAGCTTGGTGCTTTAGGGTGCATTAATGAAACAAAATTACTCACTTGGGTAATTGCTACAGATCACTAACTTTGTTGCTCATTAAGTGCATATACTTTTTTCCCTTCTTCTTCTAGAGACTCTTCACTCAACTGACTTAAGTAGAGCTACTTAAAAAAAAATTCAACTGGAAGCAGCAGGTAAATCAAAAGAGCAGATGCTTTTAAAAATATGGGTATTTCCAAAAGTATTATGGAAAACAAAGCACTGCTGAATTAGAAATGGACCTTGCATTTGTATTTAATGTCACCATATTTGGAAACCATTTGTACATTCGCTTTTCTTTCTTTACCCCTCCTTTTCATTGAAGCTCAGGAAAGCGTAGGGAAATATATTTTTCACTTCTTTTTTACAGTAAAGAAGGAAAGAGAACAGTGGAGAAGTGAATGTGTTGAAGTGAACAGCTGCCTGGCACATGCTGGGCTTGCAGAGAGTAGCAGGGCCCATGGGTACACCAAGCTGGGGAGGCATCAGCCACCTCCCCTGCAGCTCCCTGACGGGAGTTAACGCACACTTGTAGCAGGACGTACAAACCTGCACCAGACTCTGGCAGCGACAAAGCTCCTTGGCTGGGGAGGTTTACGCCAAAGCAGCCCCCGTGCAGAAGGGTGCGTGTGGGGCTGCTCACGCATCTGTGCAGATCTGCCCAAGAAAAGGCTCTGTTGTCAGTGTTGGCAAGTTTGCTCTCATTAAGATAGCTCATTTAGAGAATGTAACTTCTGATAATAGATCAAGGAAGGAAACGCCACTGTCCCAGCAGCTAAGGCCAGACCTTTCCAGCCTTTAAACACAACCTACGTCTTTTAGCGCTCTGGAAGAGAACCGAGACCGTAGCTGGGATGCGCTTACACAAAACAACCGGAGTTGTACTGCAGCAGACTGCAACTGTCTGACAAAGAACTCAAGGGGCAAGAATAAAACCACGGAAATAGATGGCAGCTCATCCTGGCCTTATTTTCTTTCTTTCTCCACACCAGCCTCAGAAAAAGTTATCATATGCCAAATTTTACTGAATAACACAGCTCAGCAAGCTTGCAGGAACCAGACAGACTTAAAATAATGTTTTTCATACAAAACACAATGAGGTCATATTTGTCTTTCATCTGGGATGATAAAATTATGCCTTGGCTACATCGGGCAGTTTCATGCTGAAGACATCATTGCTGATCTACATTTTTAAAGTAGAAGCATTCACTTTTCATCTCGTAGTTTGGTTTGAGAGTAACTGTACACATTGCAAAGCAATCAGATAAGGCCCAAAATGACTTTCCTAGCATCTCGCCATAAAGATAGAGAGATCTTTCACATAGCTACATGGCAATCAACTTCTAATAAAGCTGTTCAGCACAACAGAAGAAAACATACAGACCTTTCACATACGACCTTTCACATACAAGTGCATGGAAAAAAAAACCCCTTTGCTTCCAATAAAATGAATTTAGTAAAGAGATTATGGGTTGTTTTCTGGTTGGTGTTTGTTTGTTTTCCTTAAATAAAACATATCTTTTAGTTCAAAAGAACAGATTGGTTAGCAGTCTTCCCAAAGACTTCTCCAGATTAAATCACATGTTTTAAAAGATACTGGGATAGATTCTGCAAATGTGCATTAAAGCAGCTGTTATACAAATAAATTGGGCTTCTTGACATAAGCATCAACTACATGAACTGGGGGTTGCCTCTCTAAAAGACTTTCAAAGCGAGCTTTGTTGTGTTGCTAAGATCTGGACAAGGAATGCCAGCTTGGACAAGCTTTGACATGGATTTAAAGCATTTTATTATCAAAATCAAGTCCTCAAACTGACTAAAGAGGGCAGGAAGCACTGGTATTTGAAAATCTTGGCTTTTTATTTCCCACTTGGAGATAAGCACTCATATTGTTTTGCAGTGTTCGGGTGGACAATGTTTTTATTTCATTTGAACTGAGAAAAAAATTAATAAAAACAATGCTGCACAATGGAACACAGTATTGTTTGGGTAAATAACACTTAGAAGAAAGCCAGTTCATTATTATCACTTGGGATAGGAGGCTCCTACTGGGACTAGTGACCTGCTGAGCTGAGATCTGTGTAAATACATGATGAGACACAGTCCTTGGGCCAAAGAGCTTGCAATCCAAACACACAAAGCAAACATCAGAGGTATTACAATCATCCTCATACTCAGTGTGGGCCTGTCTCATTCTCCAAGTGCGAGGCCTCTCTGCAGTTAATGGAAACATCAGTTTTGCACCCCTTTTCATTTTGTTCTCCCCATTTTCCAAGCCTTGTGCTCATCGCTTGAGCTGAACCCTTCAGGGCAGTCAGAGACACTCTGCCCTGGCCGAGGGGCCTGGCCATGGATGTGCTATTTGGGAGGAAAAATACACATGTGGCTCAGCAGTGAGGAACCCAGTACTCAGGCCAGATGGACCGGTGTCCCCTTACCCCTCTTCAAAGCAGCTTATCCTGTGCCTTGGGGATAAGAGACACTGGAGCTACACCCATACTGTGGGTGGGAGGAGAACCAGAAATCCATCTTTTGCAAAGGCCATCATCGTGATGATGTCTCTAGTTGCACAATGTGGGCACAAAGTGCGAGATGAGAAGGAGAGGACAAATACCAGTGTCACCAGTGTCTACCAGTGGTTTTCAGCACTCGTTGAGCTCAAGCTTAACTAGAGAGCAGCTGAGACCTGCAGGTGTGTGGCATCTGTCAAGAGCAGGAAGCAGGCAGCCGACTGCTGATGGCTCCTGGTCAGGAACCGCATCAAGCTCATCACACACCAACCATCTTTCTTTGTCTGCAATTCATTGGTATGGGTGATCTGCCCAAGTTTCAATGTCTTTCTCCAGTTTGCCTGTTTTTCAACTCATGGGTTATTTTTCCGAAGCCAATTAAAGCAGATGTGACATTATTATGTGTTTGGATTATTATGCTGCCTAGACAACTGAAGGCCCGATGTGTGGCTTACCCTTTTTTTGTTGTTGTTGTCGTCTAGACTATTATTATATTATTTTCAACACATCATTTACCCTACTGTTGTAATAAATGGCTTTCAAGACTAAACCTGGTAGTTACAACAAAGATAATGTGAAATACTAAAACTCATTAATCTCTAATAAGAAAATTAATAAAACTTTTACCTTGTAAATACATATGTTAAAAAAGTCATATAATTCAGACCACTGCAGTAAAACTCATCAAGGAACAAAAATCCCTAACAAGTCCTTAGCTATCTCCCTGAACTTTTCACCAATTAGATGCAGTCATGTTAATTGCTGTGAAGAGAATTTGGCAAACAGACAGTGCCCTCCAACAATAGGTTTATTCATTTCAACCCGTCCTTTTTAGGGTAACGATGAATTAACCACTTGTTCCATTGCTCTACCCAGAAATCAAAGTGTAAACTTTGAGAAAGCAGAGCACTGCTGGGCAGTGGGAAATTGTAGATGGGAGCTGACCAGTGAGTCAACACTATTATCAATGCTGGCAATGTATTTCTAAAAGAAGCAGCACTCTACAAAGATTGCTTTACTGCACAGGCCCATTTTTAGGGAAAATCCAACCACTGAAATCTGGAGAGGGCAAGGTCTATGCTGGAAAAGTGACTACAGACTTGACAGAATGGT